AGACTTATATTCACATTCAAGAGACATTTGCACGCACATCATATTTTATATACGAAGCTCTCTGGGTGAGCTTATTATCATACGAACCAATCAGAGCCGTTCAATGGCGCTGGAACAATCAGGTTTAGTCAGTGGGTTGTTTGAATTTAAAGACAAGTAAACTCATGTTTTGTTTTGTTTTTTTGGGGTTTTTTTCATATATGATGTTGAAATCCTTGTGGGAATTTCAGAAATACATATTAGAAAATAAAGGCGTTAAGCTTGAACAAATGTATAAGCACCTAGCTTATTACAATTAATGTATCATGTAATGAACAACAGCCTAATCAACCAAAGTAGCATAACCTTTTAAGTAAAACTGAACAACATATTTTAAATATCGCAATGCTTAATAATAGTTGGCAAACGTTTGTGCATTGTAAATGTTAAAAATGTTTTTCAAAATATTGTCAATCAGGTTTAGTCAGTGGGTTGTTTGAATTTAAACACAAGTAAACTCATGTTTTGTTTTGTTTTTTTGTTTTTTTTTCATGTATGATGTTGAAATCCTTGTGGGAATTTCAGAAATACATATTAGAAAATAAAGGCGTTAAGCTTGAACAAATGTATAAGCACCTAGCTTATTACAATTAATGTATCATGTAATGAACAACAGCCTAATCAACCAAAGTAGCATAACCTTTTAAGTAAAACTGAACAACATATTTTAAATATCGCAATGCTTAATAATAGTTGGCAAACGTTTGTGCATTGTAAATGTTAAAAATGTTTTTCAAAATATTGTACTTTTCCAAATATTAAAATTATAAATACATAAATATTTAAAATATAACTATGTGTAGGCCTACTGCAATATAAAGTACATTAAAAACCTACCAAAAGTGTAATAATTGTGTTATGTTCTCACACAAAGTAGACATAAAATATATTTTAAGTAAGGGTAACATATGTTTTCTGTAAATACACTAAAAAGTCACTAAAAGTTTGCTTGTGTTTAGTATATCCCTTAAAAGTATAACTAAGCATGTATTTAATACAAAAGTACTTCTAGTATACTTTTTAGAAATATATTAAAATGCAATTCAATATATTTTTATTGCACTTCAAATAAGCATGTTGGGAATGCAAATGTATTATAAACATACTACTTGGATTTCAAGTATATTTTTAATACATTTAATACTACGTCTTTTTCACCTGGGCAGACATCAGGCTCTGTGTGTATGATGCATGGATCATTTCTGTTGTCACAAAATGGGCAATTCAGGGTTTGAGAGTGATTCCCAAATGTCATTCAGTGACCCTGAAATTCTAAAAATGGCTTTAGATTCAAATTTTGATAGAAATAGCTATGGCATGTCAAAACAAAACAAACTGTGGTTTGCTTTACATGTTGGTCCCAGAGTTTCTTCCTGTCTAAGTGTACATTTCTCGACCAAAAAAAGATGAACGTGTCAACAGACTTATGCTGTTAGTCTAGCTATGCAAGACAATAGCACATATCATCAGTTTAGACAGTAAATAGAATAGTATTATCCGCTTCGCGTTGTGCCTAACAACGCCCCTTAGCTGTTATAAATTCACTGTAAACCACGGCTTCACGGGGCTTATTGCTTTTATAAAACGGTTATTCCATATACGTAGTAAGGTTTCACAAAATAAAACAGAGCAAATAAAGTGTAATGATATAAATAAAAACAGTATTCTTCCACCAAACAATGTAGTTCCTCAGAAACAGTTGTGGTTGCAATAAAGTGGTTGCAGAGCAACATGCAAATGTAAACAAAGGTGTATGTTTGTAGAGTAATTTACAACAGCTTCGAACACGGCTCAGCCAATCAGAATCAAGGACCGGAACGATCCGTTTTATAATCATACTTTTATTATATACTCTAATATATACATTACCTGTTAAAACTGCTTTTTTTTCTTAATTTAGTACTTCTATTCAGCAAGGACCCATTAAATTGATCAAAGTGACTAAAGACATTTATAAGACTTCAAGTAAATGCTGTTCTTTCATCAAATAATTCTGAAACAAAGTCTCAGTTTTTACAAGCATACAGCACAACTGTTTTCAACATTCATAATAATAATAAAAATGTTTCTGGAGCATCAAATCAGTGTATTCCATTAATTTCTGAAGGACACTGAAGACTGGATTAATGATGCTGAAAATTCAGATTTGCATCACAGGAATAAATTATATTTTAATATATATATTCAAATAGAAATAAGTTATTTTCAATTGTAATCATACTTCATAATATTTTACTTTATTTTTGAATAAGCCTTGGTCAGCATTATAAGAAAAAACGATTTTTCAAAGTTGTATGTTCTAGATATAATGTTCCTCTTAAACTTTTGTTTTAAGCTTTCCATATGTATAAATATCTATGTGATTCCCTTCAGTGACTAAGCACTCACATTTCCCATCATCCCCCACTGTTTCATCACCCACAATCTGTCAGCCCTCCGCCTCCTCCAAGGACAGAGGCTGAGGTATTCCCAATCTGTCGCTATCCTCTTCCCCTAGCGTTCGGTGATAAACAGGGAGTGTAATCGAATCTTCTGCTGCCACTCTGAAGCCTGCACCTGTCTCAGCGTGGTGCAACTCATCTCTCTGACTCACTGAGTTGGCAAAGTTCAGAGCTGCACTGAAAGGGAGCTGCCAAGCTTAACACCTACATACGACCGTGCCGTGCAGCCACAGAGGCACATGAAGACGCCCTCCGAGGGCTTTATTTTCCTGACCTCCACTTAGACAAATAAGCCTGGAAAGCCACCTTTTTTATTCTGCGTTTTGAGGCTATAGGAAGAGGTTGATGTTCTGGTAGAAGGTGGTAGCTTTGACAGTTGAGAGCAAGAGTGCAAATTTGCAAATGAGGTCTAAAATGTTTCGTAAGCTAATTACTTAAACCATATTTGGAGGAAGAACTTGTTATGCCTCATTAACTCTCAAAAATAAAGGGGGGTTTTGCAGGGATGCAATAGAAGATCCATTTTTGGGTTCTTAAAAGAACCTTTCAGTGAACAGTTCTTAAAAGAACTTAGGGCGAAGAACATTTGAAGGGATCGATCACACAAAAATGAAAATTTGTTGAAAATGTACTCACTGTCAGACAATCCAAAATATAGATGAGTTTGTTTCTTCATCAGAACAGATTTTGAGATATTCAGAATTGTATCACTTGCTCACCAGTGGATCCTCTGCAGTGAATGGGTGCCGTCAGAATGAGAGCCCAAACAGCTGATAAAAACATCACAATAATACACAAGTAATCCGCATGGCTCCAGTCCATCAGTTAATATCTTGTGAAGCGAAAAGCTGCATGTTTGTAAGAAACAAATTCATCATTAAGGCGTTTTAACTTTAAACCATCACTTCTGGCCAAAATACCTGTCCATAATCCATAATAATATTTTATCCAGTGAAAATGTTCATACCCTGTTGCCCTCTCACATCAAAATCCACCAGAATATTTCTTTAAAATAAGTGTTTTGCTTGTAAACAGTGCTTGACCTGTGCATATTTCTCTCCTGAATCAGACGAGACAACTTTGTCCAAGGAGACAGCAATATTATGGACAGAGGACTCAGTTGAAGTTTAAAACGTTTTAAGGATGGATTTGTTTCATAGAAACATGCAGATTTTCACTATATAAAACTGATGGACTTGAATCGTGTGGATTATTGTGATGTTTTTATCAGCTGTTTGGACTCTCCTTCTGACGGCACCCATTCACTGCAGAGGATCCACTGATGAGCAAGTAATGCTAATCCAAACTCCACTACATCCTGGATGGCCTGAGGGTGAGTAAATACTCAAACTATTCCTTTAATAATCTTAAGAACCTTTCCGCACTATAAAGAACCTTTTGTGGAATGGAAAGGTTCCGTGGATGTTAAAGGTTCTTTATAGAACCACAGATACCAAGAAAGAACCTTTAATTCTTATCTTGTGAAAACAGCATTTGTGAACAAATTAATAAAAGTGCTGCTGCGTTTTGTCCTTATTTCCATTTCTTTTACGGAGAGCCTCGCAGTGTATTAGTTCATTTAGCTGTAAGACTCAGAAAGCTTGCTCTATTAGACACCGACATTATGCAGGAAAGGGAGGGTGACAAAATCTACCAGAGAAAGTGAGGTTGTGGGTTAACTCATTTGCGAATTCCCTCCTCAATTCACTTTGCTCAATCAACTTAATTAGAGCTCTAAATATAGATCCACGTTGCTTACTGGAATCAGAAGAGCTGTTAAATGCTTAGACCAGCTAGCTGACATTAATCGAACAGCCGTTCATTTTGAATCCAGCAGCACCGGTTTATACGGCTGTGAAAAACACGGGAAGCACTGCAAAACAGCCTTCACATAGTTCTGCTATAGCATCATGGGAGAATCCAAAACAGATTCAAATGTTCATCTTCAAAAGATACAAATATATGAACTTGTTTTTGCATAACAATCCTGGCTAGTCTTTCTCTTTATGAAGGTTTAGTGAGTGCTTGCGGTCTAGGGGGCAACTAGTATAAAAACAACCTGGAATTATTTAAATATCAACCTCTAATAATCCCATTAAACAAATCTCCTCTATTCTTCTGAAAGGGCATGGCACTCGCAACAACAAGGTCACAGTTCAATTCCCAGGGAATACATATACTGATAAAAATGCATCTGAAATACTTTGGATAAAAGCATCTAGCAAATGGATAAATGCAAATGAGGAGTGCAACTTACAATTCATGACTATAAGAATACATGCTGATCTGACCGCTACACTATGAGTCTTTGCTACTTACATTATGGAAACCAATTTATGGAAATGTACTCTTGCATCTGGAGAATACAAGGGGAAAACATTTTCTTAAGCAGACTGAAAACGAGAACAGTAAAACAGTAATCCTGTAGCATGTATGAGTAATATTCAGTTTGTAATGAGAGCAGTGAAAGAGTAGAGATATAAAATTAAGATTTGAATAAAAAGCTTAAGACCAAGAGTATAATTTCAAGCATTTTAATACAAACTTAATAAACTATCAGTCCCTCTTTACATGTAAGACACTGACTCCAAATACTTTGTTATACTATTTGTTTTTGTCAAGTATTGCACAATGTTGGTACAAAATTAATATACGATTACATTTTGTCCATAGTATAGCAAAAATCTTTGAACTCTTAACAGAAAATACAACTCTTTTTTTTTTTTCTCTTTTCTCCCCCAAAAAGCAAATATTTTCAGATCCCAATACAATGGAATATTCTGTACACACTCTTTAGAACAGTTGATGTTTTTAAAGATGGATTTCATTTTACAATTTCAATAAAAAAAATATAACAAAAGCTGCTGCAGCCATCACAGATCACTGGAGTAGTAAAAAGATATAAATGCAATATGTCGTAGAAACAATATATACTCTGATATTTTACAAACTTTCTACTAAATTAATTATACAGTTAGAAAAAAAGACCAAGAAATCCCTCATTCAGCATTCAGGCCAATCCTCGGAAAATTGGCTGTGTAGCTATACCTTGAATACTATTAGAGGCCTTGATTTGTAGTTTTCTTCTTCATAAAGATATCTTAAAACAGTCAGTAAAAATAATTTTGTGCTTGGTTGGCAAAAGAAAACAACTAAAAAAAAACAATATGAGTTAAGATAACTAAGCTTGATTGTACAAAAAGCTTAATCGTAAAAAGAATGACAAAAATACTCAAGGGAACAACATGGTTCACCCTCGGGCTCATCGTTTGACTTTACAGTTGAAGTGTTGCTTTGCGATTTTCTTTTTGTTTTTTCCATTTTTTGGGGATTTTCCAAACGTGAACTTTCCACCGTCCCATCACATATCTCTGGTCATTAGTAGTATTCTCGCTTTCTAGTTGGCCATCACTGGCTGGAATTGCTGGTTAGAATACTGCATGTTGCTCAAGCTGAAACTCAGACTGTCCATGAGGGACTTCTCATTAAGGCCCCCATAGGTTGCAAACACGTCAAAGGCATTATTGTACGGGAGAGGGCTGAGATTGAGGGACGTTTCCCCGGGGAACATTGCACTTGGGCTGCCCTGCCCCTGGAGATTGGGGAACACAAACTCCTTGGCGTTGGGAGACAGGGCAGAGGGCTTCTGTGGCTGACCGCTCAAGCCGACGCCGTAGAGAGAATGCATGGATGTGGACATGGCTTTCTGCTTGAGGAGGTTGTTTACATTCAGGCCCAGGTTGGTGGGGGAGTTTCGGGTCACCTTGTTGGCGTTCCGCCCATTGCTTTTCATTTTCGTGGAGCCAAATTTGGTGGCGGCGAAGCTGGCAGTGGTAAAGGTTAAAGGTTGCGTGGAACGGCGCATGAAGGTGGGGCTGACCGCTGCCGACTGGCCAAACGGTGGGGACGGGGAAGTGGAGGTGGGGGACATGCCTAGGGGTTCGCTAATGGGCATGAAGACCTGGGCCTCTGGGTTAAAGCTGTTCTTGATCTCCTTGTCCAACTCCAGCCCATTCTCATTACTGTCGTCCACATAGAGCACCTTGACGGGTCCCTTCTCCCCAATCTGATAAGACACCTCGAAAGGATCAATCCAGACACTGAGGTCCTGAGGCAGGTTGTTGCGGACATCCTCAATGTCCAACCCACTTTCTTTGGCTGCTTGCTCAACAACTGGGTCCACTTTCTCCCCGACATGTATACACCTGAATCCAGACCCTTTGTATGGCTTGTCCGGGTACCAATGTCCCTCGTATTTCTGTTTCAGCTGTCGCTCCAACTCCTCGCCGAAAATGTTGACACGTCGCCTGGGCAGCTTATTGTACAAGTACGAAATGATGAAGTTAAGTGCTACTTGGATTTCAAGCTGCATAGCTGCTGCGCTGCCCTGGAGTATCACCACCGTTGGCTGTTTGAATTCGTGTATAGTGTTGTAAGCCACCAGAGGGCAAGGCTCGGCTGGAGCCAGGCAAATAAACAGAAACTGGGGGGGGGGGGGGATGGTTCAAAACAAAGTGCTGGTTGCAGAGGGAACGTCTCAGTCCACAAACGGCTGATCCGGTTCCTAGAGAGAAGCAAAAACAAATAGCGTGAATAACTCCAGCTCATTATTCTCAGCTGGAAATAATAAACTGGAACATGGTACCATCTGTCAAGTTTCTTAATAGAGAGTTCCTTAGAACAGCATGAATGTTTTGATAAAACAGCTTGCGCATTCGTAGGCTTGCGAAAATTAGCCATAGTTTTACTACAAATAAAACCATAGGCTAGTTAAACCATGGTAACCACAAATCAACTGTGGTTTTGCAACACTAACCATAGTTTAACCATGGTATTTGTAGTAAAACTGTGGTTATACAAATGGTAGTCAATACGCCAAAAAAAAAAAAACATGGTTATTACTAGAATTTTACGAATTTTCGCTTGCGAGCAGATTAGATTCTACACAAGCACACAAACAATCCTAAACTTCAGTGTACTGGCTGAATGGTACTTCCACTCTAGTTTAATTCAAAACGACAGCTTGTGTCGAGCATATATTAGCACTAAGCTAGTCCTATGATTGCAGTTGACTATTATAGGAAGGATGCACTGGGACTCGCGGAGCTGATAGAGTTACGTAATAACTAACTTGCCCTGACTAGACCCTCCACAACTGTAACCCATCTACTGCTGTCGCCATAATCAAACTTTCTCCTGAGCTCGTCATGTAGCCCAAGTCTGTCAAATAGAGAGTTTGGCGAGGACATCAGACACAAGAACGCGAGACTTTAATAATTAAACCTGAATGTGTCACGAGGAGAAATGAAAAGCAGTCAGCGCACGCACATATCGGCGTACCGTCGTCGATGAAGCGAATAGAAATAAAAATGCGCTTGCATGTTAAACCAAACTGATAAACGGCTCGCTTTACGCCTTGGTTAGCAAATATAAAAGCAGACTGGGTTTGGTTTGTACATTTAAAGCGAGTATAGGACGTCAGAGATCGTATTGTCGCTCCCACCCAGTTCACAGGGAAGATTCAAGCGAACGCGAGGAGGACACAATGTACAGTTTTAAAACAGACACATATATGCTATATTACTAATGCGCGCATGAAATGCACTGTATAAAGGTATACATTTAAGACAAGAGAGCAGTAAATGATGGGGCTATTCTGTGCAATTCGACCAGGATGTGCTGACAAATTAAATCTAGCCTTCTATGGCATTTGATCATTTGCACTTCTATGTAACTACTGTATGGCTTCTGGTGCAAGAAGGTATTTTGCCATATCCCATCCGAGCTCCTAAAGTCTACAGCCCACGACTGACGCAGCAAGCTGCCTTCATTTAAATTCTCTTAAGGTTTCAGTAAACTATCACAGACAACGCTCTGCAGCCTACAGCCTACTCTACAAATGGGACAAATCACAAAAATAGCAATGCCATACAAAGAAATGAAATACTTACTCGAGTTTACAAAACGACGGGGTTCAGTAGTTGCAGTAGCCTTAACTAGTGCAAATAGAAAAATTCAGATATAGGTACTTTCTGTACATTAACATAAAGGTATTCCAGTTGGTATAAATGTTTTATTTTTTGTTTTTCTTCTTCTTATCTTGCTCCCAGTTATCTGTAAGGTATTTGCTGTTTCACCTTCCCAATAAGCTCCTCTCCACCCCCTCTATCTGGGTGTTTTACAATTTCGTCCTCTACTGCTGTCATCCGCCTCTATTTATAGTTTTCCTCCGCCACGGGCACGCGGTGGGCGGTGATGGGCTTCCAAAGGTCACAACAAAACGAACATCGAATCCACGGAATATGATTGGTCAGGCTTGAGCGAGAGGCGGGTCCTACTCCTGACGTTCTTCAAGCCCATTGGCCCATTTTACCATCGCGCAAAGAAGGGGTGGGATTTAATACACTTATGTTGAGCCCGTCGTAAAGGCTCTTGACGTCACGCGTTACCTAGTACCACAAAAACGACAGGCTATTCATGGAGGTATCGTATATCATTTCCATGTTCATATTTCGCAAACATGACTGTTAAAGCGACATTTATGCCTCTAAGTAGATCAAATGACTGAATAAATATAAAGGCTAAGTAGTGAGCAGACATGGCAGAAGAGCATAGCTTTGGTACAACCTTAGCTAACCTGTTTATCGGTTGTTTTGTTTGATCAAACCCCAAACGCTGCTATTGTGCAGGGGGAAATTGTATTTGAAATGAAATATATTTAAATTAAATTACAACTGCATAACTATTTGATGGCAATGATGACTTTAATCATGTAAATGCAGGATTGCAGTAACAGGAGAAAAAACACCCAGATTTAATTAGGTTAAATTATTTTAGTCCTTGTGATGTGCTGAAAACCCTTTACCTAATTTGATGTTCTTGGCCAAAAATTAGCAGCCTTTTAAAAATCACTAATTATGCTGTATTATTGCCAAATCTTGGATTCAATCTTTTTGTCAACTTGTAAGAAAAAAACACCATTATTTGTGGATGATTTTGGCAATGTTCACTCAGAAACTGAGGTACATAAGCTCAGATCAATCAGGTCCAAAAAGAAATATAAAACCTGTGGTAAGTGAAAGAAAACAAGTTGATAAAAAGATTGAAATCGATATTTGGTAATGGCAAGAAATTTATAAGCATTTATTTGTAGGCCGGTCATTTTTAACTGCGGATGTAACAAGGTAGGAAAACAATCCTGAAAAAAACGTTTTAATAACACAAAAGTTGTTATACTCTGTTTGAGCAAAGTCAGTCAGTTTTAGTCCAATGCAATAACATTAATTAGAAATGAGTTTCAATTCATTTCAGTCATTTTGACGCTATTGCATCCGTGGACTTTTTAATGCAGTGTAACTAATTTCGTTGGCGTCACTGTTAGCTCATGGGTGCAATTCAAAGAAGGATCACACATCACATTATTATCTGCCCAGGCAACCAGTCTTAATGATGGGGATGTGATGGGACAAGAGTGGACCTGGGGTATGACTCAGTTAGACATCACTCTGACAGTGCACTCCCTGTTATTTATACAGCAAACGACCTACCAAAAGCCAGTCGTGTGTTTGTCTGGCCAGAGGATTGTAGTATGAAAGGCCACACGGATAAAGATTCACATGTGCCTGTCACTGTTTTATTGTACGTTGGTGTTAGAAGCTACCTTCCACAGCAAATGGCTACAGACTTCAAATGATATGTAAATGAGTTCACAACTGCCTCAGTCAAAAAAAAACGTTGTCTTCACTCTTTGTACTGTCAGTTTTAGAGCTCCTGTTCGTACAGTTATATTCTACTACCTTTCTATATATATTAATGAGATTAACTTTGAAGATGCAGCAAAGGCTGCAAAGAGTGATTTATATTTCTAAAAGAAAGTACATCTACTGTATATGTCTATCTATCTATCTATCTGTCTATATGTCTGTCTGTCTGTCTGTGTATGTGTCTGTCTGTCTGTCTGTCTGTCTATGTATGTGTCTGTCTGTATCTATCTATCTGTCTATCTGTCTCTGTCCGTCCGTCCATATCTGTCTGTCTGTCTATATCTATCTATCTATCTATCTATCTGTAAGTGTCTGTCTGTCTGTCTGTCTATCTGTTTATCTATCTGTCTGTCTGTCTGTCTGTGTATGTGTCTGTCTGTCTGTCTGTCTATGTATGTGTCTGTCTGTCTATATCTATCTATCTATCTGTCTCTGTCCGTCCGTCCATATCAGTCTGTCTGTCTATATCTATCTATCTATCTATCTATCTGTAAGTGTCTGTCTGTCTGTCTGTCTGTCTATCTGTTTATCTATCTGTCTGTCTGTCTGTCTGTCTATATCTATCTATCTGTTTGTCTGTCTGTCTATATCTATCTGTCTCTGTCCGTCCGTCCATATCTGTCTGTCTGTCTGTCTATATCTATCTATCTATCTATCTGTAAGTGTCTGTCTGTCTGTCTATCTACCTGTCTGTCTGTCTGTCTGTCTATCTATCTATCTATCTGTTTGTCT